GGAATGGATGCCTTGCTGAGATTCCCGCATTCTGCTGAGTTTTCTAAGTCTGTATGTGTGCGTGCCTGTCTGAGTGCTTGTCGGCATGAGTGCGTGTGTGACCCGCAAGGGTACTTGCTTGTTTGGCAGGCCCGTAGGGCCGGTACTTACCTGTGGCCGTGGCATCGAGGGTTGCAGCAGGGGAAAACATTCAAGCCGGCGGAGCCAGAGGTCTGCAGCCCTTGGAGTAGCGGAAAAACACTCAAGTAGCAGGTAGGCCGGTACCGCACCCAGTAGCAGTAGATGTGCCGGGTACTCGAGGCCGAGCAGAAGAAGACAAAGTTGGCATTTTTAGAGGCCCAGTAGCGGTAGGCTAGGTCTAGGCCAGTACCAGTCCATCCAGTCTGAGTCTTTCTGCAATGATGTTTCCCTCCGAAAGGGAGGAGGTAACGGGGCTGGGAGAGAGAGGGAGGGAGGGAGAGCACACACACACTCACTCAACTCGACGCAGACTTGACACGACTCGACGGACGCAGACACGAAGTGGCAAAGTCGCAAAGTCGAAATCTTGGATTTCCGAACACCATGTCGAAGTCACACTGAGGACGAGTACAGCAGGAAACTGGTACGAGACTGGTCCCCATACCGTACGGGGAGCTGGTATAAGTACCGGTGACACATACAGTACCAGGGTCATTTCTGCAAAAGGCCCGCGGGCAGAACTGAAAAATGCGGTATTTGAAAGTGGATCCCGAATTGCAGCATGGCGCCAGTTGTCCAAAATCCTACGGTACCAAAGGAGGGGTTTGGAAAAACGGTGCCAGGCCAAAAACGGGATGCAGCCGAAACAGCAAAAAGATAGACCAGGGATCGAGCCCTGGCGGAGTCCGTAACACTATCCCCTCCCTCTAGAAGGCAACGTCCCGGCTGCCAAAAATCATGAAGCAATGCTGAAATCTGTGAAGGACGGGACGGGGCCGATCACTGGTTAACAAGTCGAAAGGGAAGAGGGGTATAATGTGGGTGGCATGGGCTGCGGGAGTAAGAGGGAACAGGGTTTGGTACCGGTGAACAGGGTTGTCCTACTGATGAACTTGGGGGGGTTGCATGGAACAGGGTAGTCCTACAAATGAACTAAAGGGACGGCAGGGAGCAGGGTAGTCCTACTGATGAACTAAGGGGACTGCATGGTTTGCTATAGGTTAAGGGGGAACATAGTTCAGGGAACAGGGAACTTCTATTGATGTTCTACTGGGTAAGGGAAACGGTGTTCAGGAAAACAGGGTATTTCTATTGATGTTCTAGTGAGTATGGGGAACAATGGTTAGGGAAACAGGGATCTGCTAATGATGTTCTACAGGGTTGTCAAAGTCAGGAAAAATTAAAATGAAAATGTTTGTTCAGGATGCAAGGGCTGGTGTGTCCGAAGCAGTCGGAAGCAGAATGTCATGTAGGAACAAAGTGTCCAAGTGTCTTGAAAGGGGGTCTTGCAGTGGTCTTGATCAGGTCTTTGGGAGATAAGATAGATAGATGGAGAGCGCAATATATATACACAGCCCCTCGTTTGTTGTCCTCTTCTCCCTCTCTGCCTACGGTTTACCGGGCAGTTCTATTTGACGATATATACGATATATATATTCAGCCTCCTGATGAGTCGGTGAAACTCCGACGAAACAGTTTGTCACAGCCCCTCGTTTGTTGTCCTCCTCGCTCTCTCTGCCTACAGTTTTACCGGGCAGTTCTGTTTGTGACGATATATATATATAATGGCTTGCCATAACACAGACTGAGAACACTGCTGATTTCTGAAGTTCTGCCGATGGAATGGATGCCTTGCTGAGATTCACGCATTCTGCTGAGTTTTGTATGTCTGTATGTGCGCGTGCCTGTTGACTTGCGTGCCTGTCTGAGTGCTTGTCGGCATGAGTGTGTGTGTGACCCGCAAGGGTACTTGCTTGTTTGGCAGGCCCATAGGGCCGGTACTTACCTGTGGCCGTGGCACAGAGGGTTGCAGCAGGGGACAACACTCAAGCGGCGGAGCCAGAGGTCCGCGCCCCTTGGAGTAGCGGAAAAACACTAAGTAGCAGGTAGGCCGGTACCGCACCCAGTAGCAGTAGATATGCCGGGTACTCGAGGGTGAGCAGAAGAAGACAAAGTTGGCATTTTTAGAGGCCCAGTAGCGGTAGGCTAGGTCTAGGCCAGTACCAGTCCATCCAGTCTGAGTCTAGACTCTGTACGGGCAATAGCAGAGTCTGCAATGATGTTTCCCTCTGAAAGGGAGGAGGTACCGGTTGCTTGGGAGGCCGAGCGGCCTGGATGTCACCGTCCAGGAGGCAAGCAGGCCGCTATATCAAGAGGCCGAGGGAAGAGATCGGCCTCATTCTACAGTGTGCGAGTTGGGCGTCATGCTGCTGGAGCGTTGGTTGGAAGAGCGCTGGCTGCTACAGCGCTGCTGGGAGGAAGAAGCCGGGAGCTTCCACCTTGGCTATGGTGGAGCTCTACCGGTAGGAGGAGGAGGGAGAAGAGGACCAAGGAGGAGAGTGGCGAGGTACCTACCTGGCTATGGTGGATACCATCTTCATCACCTTGGTAGGCGCTGCATCTGGAAGGCCCCAGTTGGGGTAGCGCCGCATCAAGGAAGCTCGGGACAGAGTCAGACATTGCGAATGAGTGGGCAGCGGCATAGCTGCCTGTTGTTGACCTTGGGACAAGAGGGCAGAGACAAAGCTGCTTTGGGCTGTCCTTTGGACAGGAGGGTAGAGGAAGGGTGGCCATGGCTATGGTGGACCTCATGTTGTGCCTGCAGTAGAAGTGGGATTCGGACATTGATTCTGGTTCAGCCATTCAACATTATTATTGTTATTTCTTGTTTGAATAAGAGGGGAGGAGATAAGGAGGAGGAGATTGGTTGGCGAAGAAGAAGAGCCTTGTCATTGGTCTATGCTGGAGTACATCATCTTCTTCTTCTTTCCCTCTCTCTCCTCTTCATTCATTTCTTTTTGCAATTGGACAGCATTGTACTTTCTGATGAATGTAACACACACACACACACACACACACACACACACACACACACACACACACACACACACACACACACACACACATATATACGGACAGACAGACACAGAGAGAGAGAGAGAGAGAGAGAGAGAGAGAGAGAGAGAGAGAGAGAGAGAGAGAGAGAGAGAGAGAGAGAGAGAGAGAGAGAGCAACAAATGTGATCACCTCCCCTTCAGGAACAGTTTTCCTGAAGGGAGAGAGCGACAGAAGCGGAGGGAAATGTCCTTTCCATCTTGGCCTTGTTTCCATCTCCTCCTCGTGGCCCTCAACATTTGCCTAACGACAGAAGCGGAGGGAGACGTCCTTTCCATCTTGACCTTGTTTCCATCTCCTCCTCGTGGCCCTCAACATTTGCCTAACCTACAAATAACACCAGCCTCCTTAAGCATACACTTTTTTTTTTTTTTGGTATTTAACAACAACATATATTGTCCACCTATGTGTGTGTCTGTTGACATTTGGTTAATGGATGAGAACATGCCCCGCCTCTGAAGCTCCCAACAATATACAAGCAGGTCGTGGCCTCTGATGTACCTGTCTGGTGGGGATCGGTTTGATTTGTTCGTTAAAAAAGAAACAGGTTTGGCAATTTAGGGTATGCCGTACTGGTGGCTTAGTTGAGGTGCAATAACCCATGCCATATGTCTCGTGGAATATCTGAGGGCCTACTTGACCGCCCTCAGCCCACGTCAAAACAAGGGGAAATAGAACCCACACGAGGATTAGGGCCTGGACATGTGACAGTTGACTTTTGTCAACTGTCATGACACCAACAGTCAAAGTCCAAAGGTACCCAGCCCAGGCCGCCCGTCAAGCACGCACACTTGTTTGTATGCAGGTACCCAGACAGCATCAGGTCCAAGGGGAAGTCTGCAACTGTACACAATTGGGGCCCTCGGCTGTGAGGCAATCTGGACGGCTGAGAAAACAGGACTCGAGGCCAGACAGCCTCGTCAAATGCTACTTAAAGGCTGGCCTCGAGGTGGTCAACATTCATTCTTGCTATGCTGCTTGGACGCTGGCTTGAGTTCGACCAGACGTTGGCATTGACGCTGGCGAGACGCTGGCGAGACGCTGGCTGGACGCTGGCACTGTGGACGACGGCGTGCACTGTGACCGCATGCTGACGCATTCTGCATTGTGCACCAGGCATGCTGATGTGGCGCTGCTGGTCTACATTGCATGCTGATGTGGTGCTGCCTATGGTCTACATTGCATGATGATGTGTCGCTGCCTCTGAACTACATTGCATGCTGATGTGGCGGTGCTGGTCTACATTGCATGCTGATGTGGTGCTGTCTATGGTCTACATTTCACGCTGATGTGGTGCTGCCTCTGGTCTACATTGTATGCTGATGTGGCGCTGCCACAGGTCCACATCGCTGAGGTGGCGCATGTCACTGGTCTGCATTGATGATGTGGCGCATGCCATCTGTCTTGACTGCTGACGTGGCATTGTCCATGCTGTCTACATGAGGTGACTGGTTGCGAGGAGGAGGAAGATCGGGATCTGTGGATGACTGGCAACGAGATACTTACCTCAGGTTGAAGTTGATATTGCGAGATACTGGCTGTCTTCATTGTCTCTATAAGAGAGTGGTGCTACGTGGCACTTCTGTGATACCGAGACTTATCAGACTTGTTATTATTATTTAATTGATGACGTGGAGGGAGAGGAAGCCCGAAGGAGACGTGGGATTGCTTGGGTTACTATTGTGTGAACCGTGACTACCTCTCCCATCTTCTTCCTTGTCTATCCTCCCTCCACTCTCCTCGTCTATTGGTAACAAGATACTGTTGCGAATATTATTTTCACGTTAACTGGAGACTTTGTACAGATCTGAGACAACTGGAACTTCGACGTCTGCTGAGTATCTTCTGACTGGGTTCATTACAGAAGCATCAACAAAAGAAAACAGAGCATTTAACTTATCGTCATTTGGGTTCTTTGTTGACAGGTCTTGCTGGTCTTCACAAGGGGGTATGTACAAGTAGAGGCGGCAGAGAGGGTCATTCAGGAGTACAACAACAGGTATTATGGCAGGGCTGGAAGGAACCTTGCAGTTTTCCTTTACGGGGTGGACATTGAAACACCGGCACTGTTTGACAAGTTGAACCTTACGCAATTGTCCTTGGCAGTCAATGGCACTGCAATGAACATGGGAACTGGTGATCCGTTGTTGGGAATTTACTCCTACTTCGACTATCTGAGTCGCTTTCACAGTCAAGCTGGCGAACCATTTTGGGCCAGAGAATATGAAAACTACAGTCAGCTAGGCACTGTTATCTCCCAGGTCAAACCAGGTACAAAAGTTACTTGCTTTTTCACCCTGCCCGTTTCATTATTGTTGTTGTGGCTGTTGTCATTGACATATTGTTAGTGTTTGATGCCATTCTAATCCTCATTGTTGCCATCATGCCACTTTGTGTGGAGGCCATGCTATTCGTTTCTATATCATTCAAACTTTCTTCTTCTTCTTCTTCTTCTTCTTCTTCTTCTTCTTCTTCTTCTTCTTCTTCCTTCTTCTTTCTTCTTTCTTCTTTCTCCTCCTCCTCCTCCTCCTCCTCCTCCTCCTCCTCCTCCTCCTCCTTCTCCT